TATACTCTTGAGGCATCATCACTAAAATAATTTGATAAATTGAATCATTACCGAATTGTTAAGTAATATAACATTCACAAGCATCCAAATCACTACCAGCAGGATTATAAGATAAACTGTACAAAGACAGTGAAGCCCCACTTCTTACTTAAAAAACATGCAACTGCTTAAAATGGACACATCCTCTCTTTATTAAGGCAAGAAACTTTTACATGACAACAGAGTGACATTTACAGTGCAAAGTAAATGAGATATCTGGTGGGGCGATCCTGCACCTATTTGAAAGATTGTTTTTGATTAGCTGGGAAAACAATAGGGATTGTCACATAACAGTGCCCCTATCCCTGAACACAATGGAGGCACAGATTAAAGGGGCCCAGTGAAATAAGAGGTTTAGAACGGTGTAGGTCTACTGATCTTGTGAGATCAAGTTGAACACTAGTCAAGGATACCCTAACCTGCGCCACAGACAGAACTTAACTTTTGCCATAACAATGCCAGAATCCTTTTCTGGGCCCCCACCTGTGTATCAGGATTTCTGTAAGCGCCATCAACAGCCTATTAAAATAACCATTTTCGATTTGCCAACCAGGTTGAAGGGAAATTCAAAACATATTTTTTTGGGTAATTCATTGAGTTCATTGGGGCCGAGAATAAGGATTACATCTAAGGATGTCAATGCAACCGCAGCTTAACCAGTCAAAATGTTTTATAATAGTAGCTAGTTTAAGGTGAGAAAACCAGTGGATTTGGCATTTGTTTGATCTGAAGAATGATGAAGATCTTTGCGAGTGTTTACCCAGCAAGGCTTGCAAGAAAGAATGGAAAAAGAGAATAAGTCGACTGTTTCATGCAGCTATTTTCCTTTCTTTTGTATCAAGAATTTTTCCCAAAATGTTGTGAAATTTTTGGGTGCATCTTATGCACTAAGGCACTTTATAAACAATTATTGGATGAGGTTTTTGTGATATCCAGAATAATTAAGGTCGAGGTACAGTGTAGAGGTTATCAGCCCAACCCTAAGGCTGAGGCTGATAACCGTTACCGAGACCTTAATTATATTTCTGGATATCACAAAAACCGAATCTAGTTGTTTTATTATACATTGAACGAATCCTTTCTTTCTCGCTTCAACATGAAAGGTTTTCACAGTTTGCGCTAACTCTTTCTTTTCCTCAGGTTCCCTCAATTTTTCCTCTTTCACGTAATCAGCAAACAGCTGCTTTGCCACCTTCATTGACCTTTTTGTGTTTGTGAGTCCTTGTCTTCAACTATTTTTTCGATGTCTTGCTCGGTCAACGAAGCAAACCTGGAAGTCTAGTTTTTGCTTTTTCACTGATGGCAAGCAACACAAAGCATGCAAACTTGACATGATTACCCTTAGAAATCATGCACTGTGGTCATAAATGACATGATCACTCGTGACGTTGAGTGTCCTTGACATGATTATTGTATAATCTGGAGCTAGATGATGTCCCAGACGCAGATTTTGAAAATTCACTGTACGCTTTCGGCCAATCAGAAAAGAGATAGTGAGTTGTATAATAATCAGGCAAATACAGTTCATAGATCAACTGCATTAACAATGACGTTGATATTGACTGAAATATATCATAGTTCAAATATAAAAGATAATTATATTTAATTTCTAAAGAAAAAAGATGTTCTTGTACAATTTAAGTCACACAGGGTTATTTACAAATAGGACTGACCATGATGAAAAGCACAGAGTGCCAAACAAGGTAAATAGTTTTTTCCCCTTGCTCTCACCACAATTTCGGTTTCGCATACCGGTATGCTTTGATCTCATATCATAACAGATCTCTTACACGGCTTGTTATTTAAAAGACATCAAACATAGGAGTACATAGAACATGTTTCTTGGTGAGGTATGATTACTACACAAATAATTATCCTAACATTTCAAACAGTGTTGCCTAAGCTACACCCAGAAATGAGATTAGCCGGGAAAATCATTGATATGAACCAGATAAGCAATGTTTCGTTTTCTACGACCTGAACGTTTCACTTTTAACTCCTCCACAGCGATAAACACTCCCCTTATTTCTACCACCTAAACCTAGATGGAAGAATTTTTCCGCGAACGATTTCAAGTTTGCATGCGAGCTTTAATTTTTCCAATGTCTAGACGAATGTTGACCTCACTGTGCGACAGAGCGTTCATGATCCAGAGTCAGCACCGCGCTGTCAGAAAAACAATAATAATTTTACCGGAGGAATATCGGAACCGTTTTTTATTTTACTTTATTATTATTTAGTATTAGTATTTAGTATTAGGAATTACATAAGATAAGAATCTACGATGCTGGGAAATGCATTCACCTGCATATAAGAATATAATTATGAGGCAACTTGGAAACCGGTTTCGAAACACCACAAGAAAACAAGGTTGACTCAAAATTTTCAACCTCTCTTCATCTTAATGTTATATGTGGAAAAACAATTTTTCTTCCCGAAAACAATGGTTAATAAAAAAAACAAACAACAAAAACAAAATAGAAAACTGCAAATAAGCCTAATTTCAAACTTAAATTGATGGGTAGAGCTGTATTCGCCTTTGAAATCGATAATGTATTTCCAAACACATCGAACCAACGTTCTATCCTCGCCAACAGCTATTTCATTTACCAACTGTAGAATACTTTTCCATTGAAAGAATGGCTTCAAAAGGGCAATGAAATGGCACTACACCGAACACTACACCGAACGTAAATAAATTGCGCGGTCACTGGCGTGAAACGTCGTACTATATCGTTGATAATTTTCACAGTCAATCAAACCCACCTTTAGCACCAATCAAATAGCTACCTTTCATTCCTTAAATTGCTTCCATGTTCTCTGCGTCCTTTTCAAGCCCAAAAAGAGGACTTCGAGAACGTAAAAAGAGGAAAATCTACTGACTGAAGACGCCACGAGCCACGAGGAGAACAACAAATCAGACGAGCGTGGCTGCTAAGTCAATCAATGAGCGTGCTTCCTCCAGGGAGGGGAAAATATTTTACAATTCTTTAATAGAGTGGGGTGCGGTCCACTGGTAAAGTCACATGACACGCTTATGTCTCTTTCTCCACCATACTTTCCAAAGCGCGAAGAGTTTTTGCGAGTTTTTACTGTTACATCGTGAATCGAAGTTTTCTATTGCAGCTGATTGCATGTAAACAGTTTATAGCTGCACTTGGAAGAAAAAACTCCAAAATGATCAGTCTGGAATTTTCTAACCACATCAAAACCTTCGACTTCAAAAGTAATCGAAGCCAAGTGCAACGCGAAGCGATCGAAGCTGTGATCGCGGGACAGTCGTTGTCTTCACTGTTTGAACGTCACGGGCTAAACTTTGAGGAACGTAAACAACTTGTGAAGACAAAACTTGGGTATCCCCACAGGGGGGAAGAATGCACTCTCTTCCTGCTGGCTGTTATTTGTGGACACGTGGAAATCGTAAGAAATATGGTCGAAGAACAGCTGGTCGACATTGAACAACAAAAAACCGTCTTAGTTGGCGTCCATGCTGAGAAAAATGAAGTTCAGTACGGCTTTGGTTATGAGGTCGGTGAAGGAGTGACAGCCCTGTGGTGTGCTGCTGCATGGTGCAAACTTGATCTAGTGAAGTTGTTGGTATCCTATGGTGCAAATGTCAATCACAAGTCCAAGGGTGGATCTAGTCCACTATTCATGGCATGTCAGTATTTCCATTCTGACAGATCACGACATGTGCTTCTTGGTAAACCTGATGTACCCATCCAACTTGAACTTGTCAAGTACCTTGTGGAAAATGGGGCTGATGTCAGGGACTGTGGTCGAAGCGGGGATACCCCTCTCATAGCAGCAGCGTTGTCTGGATATAAAGACCCATCACTGATGGCATTCTTGCTGGAAAAAGGTGCAGACCCCAATATTAAGAATACTCATGGTTCTACAGCTCTGCACTTGGCTGCAGAGAAAGGATGTCTGGAAACAGTCAAGGTGTTGATACAGCATGGGGCTGAACAAGAGGTTGTTGATGGAGAGGGGCTTACCCCACTGCAGAGAGCCTGCTGTGGATGCCATGATGAGGTTGTTGATTATCTCATTTCGCTTCCTCATTGCAGCAGGGAGGCCAGGATTGATGCACTGGAACTGCTTGCTGCCTCCCACGCAACAAGTATTGACACAGAGACCATAGAGTATCCCAGTGAAGGAGATGATGAGTATGATAATGATACTGATAACGCTTCTATACAGCATGGATACCACCTCATGCTGAAAGCAATGAAGGAGCGCAACTCTCCTTCTAGCATTGCTAAGTCAGGGGCGAAATCCCCTTTAGCTGTGTATAACAGTCAAACAGAAAGCCAAACCATTGAAGAACTTGAGGCTCTGAGCTCCAACAATGAAGCCATTCAGATAGAAGGTTTCATCATCAGGGACAGAGTGCTTGGTGCCTTTCCATCAACTGAAATAATACAACCCCTGGTGAACAAAGCTGTGGTTTTAGCCCACAAAGGTAACCTGAAGCAGGCTAATTGCTTCTACTCCCGAGCTTTATCTTTTAAACTGGTGTCTTCACCTCAAAGTAGAGAGCTGTTCAGGCGATTCCTTGATCATGCAGCTGGTATGATTGAAAACCATACAGAGTTGAAGATTGATGACATTGAGCCGGCATACCAGTTTCTAGTTGCTTGGCTCAGCAATGTTGTACGGAGAAAAGAAGACCAGCAAGGATCCCATTTTGAGGTTCAGGAATCTCAATGGGCCTTTGACCATGACATGCTGCAAGCCTTTTATTTCATTTGTATCCTGAGTAACATTGAAATTCACAGTGATGATGACAGCCAAAGGAGGTCAGCCATGATTAAAGCCATACTAGATCTAAAGTTGTATAACTCCCAGGGTGCAGACATGTTTCATCTTGCAATCTGGGAAACAATCATTGAAGTTCACAACAAAGTCTCCTTGAAAGAAATATTCCATGTGCCTAACATGAAAGTTATGGAGACCTT